TGGTTAGCAAGACATCCCCAATAAAGGAGTGGTTCTGCGGGTGGTGACCACAGACCACTTCTCAGTTCCTATGCTTTCTGCCTGATGGTTTGGTCACTTTTGAATGCTGGCGGTGCTTTCACTCTAGTGGTAGCATGAGACGGAGTCTACAACCCGCACAAGTGGCTCAGGTAGTGCAGCTCATCCAGGATGGCACATCAATGTGAGCTGTGGCAAGAAGGTTTGCTGTGTCTGTCAGTGTAGTGTCCAGAGCATGGAGGCGCTACCAGGAGACAAGCCAGTACATCAGGAGACGTGGAGGAGGCTGTAGGAGGGCAACAACCCAGCATCAGGACCACTGCCTCCGCCTTTGTGCAAGGAGGGACAGGAGGAGCACTGCCAGAGCCCTGCAAAATGACCTCCAGCGGGCCACAAATGTGCATGTGGCTGCTCAAACAGTCAGAAACAGACTCCATGAGGGTGGTATGAGGGCCTGACGTCCACAGGTGGGGGTTGTGCTTACAGCCCAACACCGTGCAGGACATTTGGCATTTGCCAGAGAACACCAAGATTGGAAAATTTGCCACTGGCGCCCTGTGCTCTTCACAGATGAAAGCAGGTTCACACTGAGCACATGTGACAGACGTGACAGGGTCTGGAGATGCCATTGAGAACGTTCTGCTGCCTGCAACATCCTCCAGTATGACCAGTTGGGTGGTGGGTCAGTAATGGTGTGGGGTAGCATTTCTTTAGGGGGCTGCACAGCCCTCCGTGTGCTCGCCAGAGGTAGCCTGACTGCCATTAGGTACCGAGATGAGATCCTCAGACCCCTTGTGAGACCATATGCTGGTGCGGTTGGCCCTGGGTTCCTCCTAATGCACGACAATGCTAGACCTCATGTGGCTGGAGTGTGTCAGCAGTTCCTGCAAGACGAAGGCATTGATGCTATGGACTGGCCCGCCCATTCCCCAGACCTGAATCCAATTGAGCACATCTGGGACTTCATGTCTCGCTCCATCCACCAGCACCACGTTGCAACACAGACTGTCCAGGAGTTGGGGGATGCTTTAGTCCAGGTGTGGGAGGAGATCCCTCAGGAGACCATCTGCCACCTCATCAGGAGCATGCCCAGGCTTTGTAGGGAGGTCATACAGGCATGTGGAGGCCACACACACTACTGAGCCTCATTTTGACTTGTTTTAAGGACATTACATCAAAGTTGGATCAGCCTGTAGTGTTTTTTCCACTTTAACTTTGTAACTCCAAATCCAAACCTCCATGGGTTGCTAAATTTGATTTCCATTGATAATTTTTGTGTGGTTTTGTTGTCAGCACATTCAACTATGTAATGAACAAAGTATTTAATAAGAATATTTCATTCATTCAGATCTAGGATGTCTTATTTTTGTGTTCCCTTTATTTTTTTGAGCAGTGTATATTGAGAGATACTAGAGTGTGATTACCCTAAACCTCTCTTCCCCACCACCATCCCCTTTAGCTCAGGACTGTGCAGTTTCTTTATCTGAGTCTCCTTCTGGGAATGGTCTGAATTGGCAAATCTTCCTCCTCTGCTGATACAGGTGCACACTCCACCACGCATATGTGTCTCAAGCGATACAGGTAGTCCTTGACTTATGACTGGTCGTTTAACAACAGTTTGGAGTTACAGTAGCCTCAGAAAGGGTAAAGCACTTCAGCTTTTGTAAATTGTCTCTCGCATATCCCGATGGTTACATGACTGCATTTTGGGCACTTGGCAACCAGCTCACATTTAAACTGGTTTCAGCGTCCCATGCTCACATGACCATGGTTTGCAACATTTTTTGCCAGTTTCTGGCAAAAAAAACACCTATTCAGGAGAATGAATTCCAGCTTACAATTACATGATTTGCTTCACAGCTGTAAAAACAATCATAAAATCAGTTCTGGTCATGTGGGTGCCTAGACTTGTGACTGTTGCAACTTATGACTGAACTTACGACTGAAATTCTGATCCCCATTCTGGTCATAAGTTGAAGACTACATGTAACTTTTTTTAAGTAAATATCTTATCAAACAAGAGGCAAGTTTAAATCCAGATGATTAAAGTGGTAGTTGTATTTGTAGTATAGAATGGAACTTCACAATTCTACAGTAGCAGAACTGTGAGAAATGTCTGTGTGTCCTGTTTGAAGTTTTATATAGAGATAAGTTTTGTATGTCAGATACAGAATCTCTTGGTACAGGTATAATTTCCTCAATGTTCTTCAATATTTGTAGTGGAACACAGACATTCTGTGTTATTAAGGTAAATACCTTGTGTTTTCTTCTTTTAAAGCAGGGGTCTCCAACCCCCTGGCCACAGCCCACTACTGGGCCATGTCCGGCAGGTCAGTGTGTGTGTGCACACTTGCACAAGTTGAGCTGCATGCATGCACATGCCAACCTGCCGCTCACTCAAGTCAAGCTACGTGCATGTGTACATGTGGCCCAGTACTCTCCCCCCAGCCGCAAAGGTTAGGGACTGCTTCTTTAAAGAAGGAAAAATAGTGACTCCCTTTTGCAGTTCATCAGTGACCCTCAATTTCAAACTGCTGTAAATCATCATCTTGCATTCAACATTTCCAACGTCATCAACCACTACTTTCATGAGCATACCAGCAGTCCCACTAAGACAAGTGCTAACTTCTTTGCCTCCTTCTTCATCCAGGTCGAGAAACATTTTAGAGATGTCGAAAGTCAAAAGGTGATGCAGCGTTCACAAGTCCAACCAACACAGAAGGAAAGCGCCCTCTCATCCTGAGTTCCACCTGCCCTTCCTGGTTGCGACAGATTGCTTCTGTGGGGGGTGGGGTGGGGTGAGCCCTGTGAACATGCAGCAGCAGATGAAACAGACTTCCTCAAAAGAGGGTAGGGAGGTTTCCACTTCTATGTTGTGGCTACCTTGTAATGATGGGACCCACAGTTTCTGAACTTTAGACTTCAAAGACAAAAACAAGAGAATAATTTAAAAACTTGATTAACAGGCTCTTTACTTTTTGCCCTCCAGGTTTCCCCCCAGATCAGTCAGCTGTCTTGTATTTGAGGCTTTTCTCCCCTCCCAGTTATTTTTTCCTGCTTTACTGAAATAAATTCCATGCCACCCCTGTTTCTGCTGTATAAGAATTCAGCTCCTTAGTTGTCCTATTAAAAAAAAATAGAGGAAATAGAAAATAATGAGCTGACTGTGGTGATGTAATTGGGACTTGTCTATGACTGACTCATTTTGGTTTTTGTTTGCACCGGGTGAGGCTTGAATTAGCCTTATTTTTCTTATCTTGAAATAACATATATAATAAATATCTATCTCTATATTTATATCTCTATATCTCTATTATATATGTGTGTGTGTGTATGTGTATGTATGTATATATTCTTTAAATATTTTTCAGGTTCTTGCAGTACTCAAAATAGATACCATAGCAGAAAAAAATCTCTATGCTTGTAAACAGTCAAGCCTTCTGCAGTTGGCTTGGGCTTCAGTGGGTCACAATCTATTGAAAATGCATACTTAGGGTACAGGTTTCTCCCATTTGGTCTTTGCACTAAGTTTTACCTTGCACTTTTTTATTTAACATCAGTATCTACATGAACAGTGTATTTTCTGGGTACAGTTCATTTTACATTGATGGTGATCACATAAAGTATTTGCTTATCTTAGTAAGCCTTCTGTCCATCTCTTATTTTTTACTTTTTAAACATAATAATCTTAACTTCTAATATTTACTTGTACATAGTAACTATAACTTCCATTATATGACAATATATATAATAACCTTTTCCCAGTTTTGTTTCTAGCTTGATTTCCTGATCTTTAAAAAAACAGATCCCATATCAAAATTTATATCTATCCATCATCTCTTTTTCATAATTCAGCTCTTACTGACTTTTTGGTCAGTTTCCCTTGCTCCTCCCTTGGGACCTTCTATCCCTCTACTTCATTCCTGTTTACTTTAAATGTCTTCTCTGCTTCTGCCTCTCATTGTCTGCTCTCCAAAGTACCCATCTGTAACTCTCTCATCTCTGCTAGTGGATCTTTCTCTTTGTTCTCCTCTTCATTTTGGACTGTTTCATGGTCTTGAAAGATGCAGACTTTTTCCTGTACCACTGCTTGAAGAAAGTATCTTCTAAAAACTGGCAGTAGTTTTGGGAGTTGATTTTGAGTCTCTTCAACCTGAAAAGGTCCAACTAGCTCATCTTTAATAATACCAGCCCATACCAGTACCCCATCTCCGCCTTGCTGGCGTCTGAATCAAAGTGGAGCTCTGTGCCCATTACTGATCCAGCCACGGCCCATCCATCTAGTCTGTCAAGAGTCACCCTCATCAGTCCATAAAACCTTTGAAAAATCTGTCTTCAGATATTTCTTGGCCCAGTCTTGCCATTTCAATTTATGTGTCTTGTTCAGTGGTGGTCAGGTTTCAGCCTTCCTTACCTTGGCCATGTCTCAGATCACTGAATACCTTGTACTTCTGGGCACTCCAGGTAGGTTGCAGTTTTGGAAAATGACAGCACTGGAGGATAATTGATTCCTGGTAGCTTCACATTTGATTCTTCTCAAATCTTTGGCAGTTAATGTGCTTTTTTTTTTCTCAACATGTTTCTTGTGACCCGTTTGTCTATTTGCAACAAAACGTTTGATGGTTCTGTGATCACGTCCTGCTCGGGCGGCACTTTAAAAGCCTGCTCCCAGCACCCGAGCAACTTCCCAGCAACTTTCGGCTTCCTTTTAACTCACGGGCGCTCGTGCCTGGCCCCGAGCCGCGCGGCGGAGGGGAAACCCGGCGGGTGGGTGGGCGGGCTGCTTGGAGGAGGCGACCCGGGCTTCCCCTCTGCCGTGCGGCTCGGGGCCAGGCGCGAGCACCTGCAAGTTAAAAGGAAGCCAAAAGTTTCTGGGAAGTTGCTCGGGTTTCCGGGGCTTCCAGGCTTAAACTTTGCACGGGCAAAGTTTGCAGGCGGGAGCGTCTTCCCACCAAGGAGCAGGAAGGGTTCCGCCCGGCGGGCAGGCGGGCTGCTTGGAGGAGGCGACCCAGCGGCGCTCCGGGCTTCCCCTCCGCCGCGCGGCTCGGGGCCAGGCGCGAGCGCCCTTGAGTTAAAAGGAAGCCGAAAGTTGCTGGGAAGTTGCTTGGGTTTCCGGGGCTTCCAGGCTTAAACTTTGCACAGGCAAAGTTTGCAGGTGGGAGCGTCTTCCCGCCGAGGAGCGGGAAGGGTTCTGCCCGGTGGGCGGGCGGGCTGCTTGGAGGAGGCGACCCGGCGGCGCTCCGGGTTTCCCCTCCGCCGCGCGGCTCGGGGCCAGGTGCGAGCGCCCGCGAGTTAAAAGGAAGCTGAAAGTTGCTGGGAAGTTGCTCGGGCGCTGGGAGCAGGCTTTTAAGAGCTGCGCCCCAAGGAGCAACTGGCGGCCAGAGCGGGGGGAAAGTCAGGCGAAAGCCCACACACACACACACCTCGGCAAGCGGTTTGCAGGGTTAGCCAGCAGTTTCTCGCAAGAGACTGAAGGCCGGTCTGCTCCCCCCAATTAGATGTTGGTTCAAGAGGGAGGGTCAGCCCTGCTGATGTATATGTATCGTATCTTGTGCTGACCCGGCCCGTTTGTCAAATTTTAAAAGTCAATGCGGCCCCCGAGCCAAAAAGTTTGCCCACCCCTGGTGTAGATAGATGCTATTCTCTCCCCTTTTCCATTTTTTTATTTTTAAACAAAAGAGTGAAATTTTAAATAATTCAAGCCCTGCTTTGCAGTATGGAGGGATGTTTTTAGCATTGTCTAGCAAAACCAATAAAAACCCACAATATTTTTAAGCATCAAACAAGCATTTGTGTTGGTGGGTTTGTGTCTTTAAGGGTGCAGCTAGATGATGTTGGAGGGGTGGGAGGAGGATTCTACAGAGAACTGGAAAACAACCTACCATACTGCTTGTTGAATTGGAGGATACATTCTGTGTAAACTGGCATGCTAACTTTGTGCACTCATGTTCTGTTGGGTGTGCCTATTTTACATATTTCTCCATCAGTTTTATATTTCTATGAATGAGATACATTGCTGGATATTTTTGTAAAATGTGAGTTAATATTTTTGATGGTTGCAAGACAGTGCAACTTTAATATGAATGAAAAGCAGAAAAGAAAAGCTTTATGAAACAAAACAAACCCTATGCATGTTTTCTCTAGAACAAGCACTGAAATAATATGGTGGAGTTGTAGAAATTTATTCAGATCATACAGATAACTTTCCATTTTGACAAAGTACCCCAAGACATTCTAGTTAGAAAATTAGAGTGAAGTGAAGTGGATATGTAGCTGTCTCAAAAAATACTCAAAAGTGTTCATGATTAGTTCCTTGTTAAGCTGGGGTGAAGTGGCACAATTATATCCAACTTTTATTAGCCACTTTATTCTCAAATCTAGCAATGAAAATTGAAATAGTATGTACACTAATCAGGTGAGTAAAAACAAATGTGTTAACTATGCAAAATTGAAGTAGGCAGGAAGTGCCCAACCATATATAAGACAAACATAAGCCAGAGACATGATTAAGTTTATGATTCTTTGTGGTAAGTATTCAATGTGTTATTTGCATTCTCCCAAACAACAAGAATATTAGATAGTCTTACGCAGGTGTCCTAGCATTTGAGAGCAGGCAATATGCATTTTCAGACTTCAGAATACCTAGGAATCTGATCTTTTTTACAGATCACTATTGAGACTGATCCTCCAGCTATTAAAGGGGGGGTGGGGTGGGGTGGGGCAGCAGAACACATCCCCCATGAGCAGAGATCTAACAAATCTAAGCCCATTTCATAAGCCATTAAGCTGCTGTTTTGTAATTAAGAGCTATAGCTTGAGATTTTTTCTTAACATATTTGCAATTAAACTGAAAGTTAATTTTAAATTGAATATATTTACAAGAGGTAAGTGAATATTAAGTAGTAAAAATAGAATAAAAGTGAAGGAGAGAATCCTGCCATGGAATACAAAAAATGCATATTAATGTGAATCTTGATTTTTTTTCAATGTAAACTGCTTATTTTCCCAAGCTGCATGGTGGCCTCTTGAATTTGTGGGTGTGTGTGCGTGCACGCGCTTGGCTGCCCGCAGTTTGGGAAGGCAAGGAGATTGTGGGGCACCAAGTAGTTCCCACATCAAGTTAGCCAATGTGACTTGTTCCATGCTGACCCAGCCGTCCCAAGTCAGTGGGGCTGAGCCGGCTGCACCTACCCGGTCACACATACCCAGCCACTCCTACCTGACTGTACTGAGTCAGCCACGCCAAGTAAGCAGCATTGAGTGGTCCATACCGACCCGGACACACCCACCTAGCCATAGCAGCCCAGCTGTGACCACCCAGCCACACTTACCCAGCCATGCCCACCTGGCTGCTGTGAGTTGTCATAGACTCTTCAAGGTGGGCTGGACTTAGATCTCTTGCAGGCGTGCAGGGACTTGTGACTTATGGTGCGTTTGACCCCTCCCTCAGACTCAGCCTGGTCATCTACATCACCCATCCTTCCCCCTCCTCTTCCATGGGGGTGGCCACTATGCTGCTTTCCCCTTACAGCATTTTGTCTTCAAAGTCTGAGTTCTCATGGGAACTTGGGAATGGAGGCTGTCTCAAAGGAATCCTCCCACTGCTCTGCAGGAGCTGGTGAGCCAGGTGGCAGTTGCTGTAACAAACAAACATCATTAGAGGTTCCCTCCCCTCCCCGGGAATTGCAGGCCAGATGTGGAAGGCCCATTGTAGGTGAGTCTCCTGCCTCCCTATGTTGGCTCTGTCGGATCCTGGTTCAGAGGAGGAGTTGGAACCAGGACCATCTGACAGGGAGGACACCAGACATGATA